TGAAGAGCACAGGTAGTTATTTATTACCCTTGTTTTTCAAAAAGCAGCATTTATTTCTAAGCACCTGACGTTTTCATGAAGGCAAGGGTCCAAAACATTATCATAGTAGGCTCTTCTGACCAAATGTTTTATCACTGAGTGTCAGTAGTTCACTAGCTCTTGCCTTGCCAATATAGCAAAGTTAGAAGCTTTTACATTGGATACATTAAAATTTAATCCTGATGCAGGATTAAATTGATACGGTTTTGCTTGTCAACAACTTTTGTTGAGTGGTCAAGATCTTCAAGAATATGCAAACACCTTGGACCATGCACAGACAACTGAAGAGACCATACAGAAGCTGGTCAGAAGCTTTTGTATATAAATATTCAGACAATACTGGACTATTGGGAGAAATTAGAAACTGATTTACTTTACGGGATGCCTGTTCCATGAGAAGTTTAATCCATTTCAAAGTTACCCCAAAGTAATGCCTATTTTTAAGCATTTAAGTAGCACCACTGATGTCAATGGGATGAGTCAGATGCTCGAAGCTAGTCGTATGTATAAAGCTCTTGCTTGATAGTGATTTCAGTTAAGGAAGAGGTGTCAGCATTGATAAAATGGTTTCATTTTCTCATCCCAGACCTTCTTCAGACCTTATCCAAGGCTTGTCCCAGTGCCTCCAGAACACTGGTGTTTGACCATCACCTCATCCCTTCTTCTGCCTCTCCAGCTCACCCAACTGTTGTACTTCCTCATTAGCTGAGCTTGTAGTGACACAGACACCATTATCCTTCTGCTAATACACTGCCTTGTGATACGTGACCATAAACCTTTTACTTAAATATTCTGATAAAAACCTCTGACACCAGCAAGATAGTTTATTTCCCTCCTCAACACCTGCAGTTTCATATGGCTAATCCTTCCAACTAAGCTTTTTGTTCTTCTGGACATTTGAATCTTGATGTAATTGCCCTACAGGCTCTGTTATGGTGATCTGACAGGATAAAGTCATCTTTTGCACTACAAGCCCCATGCAAATACACATCAAGTATTTGTTGAAAACAGGATCACAGAAACAATGAAGCGGTGCTCTATCACTTCAGCTAGATTGCTTTTCTAAAACTTTTGATATTGTTTGTCCACACATCTTTAAGGTTCTGATAAGTCTTTTGCAATCCTATTTTTCACTTTGAGTGATTCTGTATTGCAGTATTAACCAGAAGCTTTTAGTGTCATATTGATACAACCACACTGACTTAAACTCAGAGTTTGTGTCCTCCTATATTTACATCAAGAACTGTCATGCCAGTCTCCCTACCACAGAAACCAGAAGGAACTCTTTCTTTCAGCAAGTCTGTAACACTGCGAGATGGAAAAGGAAAATCAGAAGTGGGTCCTGAGTTACATAGGTAAGAACTCACAGAAGAGGATTAGTTAAACTACTACATATGCAACACTGCCTACGTAAGATCTGAAACTCACTCTTACCTACAGAAGCCACTCTTCTACTTATTGACGGAAACATAACCCTGCAAGTTTCAGAAGCCCTTAATCTCATCTCCATTTCTCAGAACAGCTTATAAGCAAATTTAAAGCTCATGCTGTAAGGAATTCTTTCTGTAAGTCAGGATGCCCATACAGCTCCTCCACATCGCGTGTCTTGCATGCAGGGCTCTGCACAAAACCAGCTAGCTGTGAGTGAACAGGCAGTGGGAAGCCTGGCCTCTAATGCAATCATGCTAATGAAGAAGGAAACAGAAAATGAGAAAGATTATATTTGTTTCAAACAAGCTGTAAGCTCCGTGAAGAATTGTCACTGAAGATGTATTTAGGGAATTTCCAGATTGTCAGTCACTTGGTAGCCAGTTGTTCTGACACATGTGCACTCTTGCACTCAAAAAAACATACAGAAATTTAAAAGCAGATTTTTCCCAACAGTGATTTTGCCATTAGAGCCCATATTCCAGCTACCTGCAACTATAAAGTCACAGTAGGAACTACACTCGCTCCTGATTTGTGTGCAGACCTGTGAAAATAAATATTTGAATATTATGTATTACTATATTATATTCAATAATATACTTTTTATTTTGCTTTCTTGAACAACAAAGTGAAACAATAAAATGATGGGACTGAGTTAAAAATCTTATGTTAAAAGCAAAAATCTACTAGCCTCACATTCAAGTTCACAATTTGTGAAATTTTTTTTTGTTTTTTAAAATGCAACATCAATGGTTTGCTGTGACAGATTCTTTGACCACCACCAAAGACTAGAAAAGTCACAAATTGGGGTGGAGGCAAGGAAAGGGGGGTGGAAGGAATAAGGGAGAGGTGGGGAAGGGCTGCATTTGAGTTATATATTATGTACTACCTTCAGTAATGGCTTACCCAAGGCAGAACTATCTGGGAACTGTATATTGAAAAAAAAAAAACCAGCAGAAGCTACTTGGCAGGCTGAAAGGACCATCTGAAATAATGTTTTGTAATAAAATTGATGAGGCAGTCAGTGGCTCTATTAGGAGGAAAAAAATCCCAACAGCTGGTACGCTGGTACTCCTATTGCTAGGACAAGCTAGATCTGTTTCTAGGACAACACATTAGTGAGGAAATTAAGACGACACTGCCACTTTTCTGGTTGGTCATTACTTCCCTTTTAACAGCTAGACTGAGGTCTTTATGCCAAATCTGTTTTCTTCATTCAGCACATCCATCTTCTGCTTTCCAGGCACCAATCCTAAACAAATAAAAACAAACATTTCAGTTTTCCGTTTGCTTATGATCTACTTGCAGTATCACCGAGTGCAACAAATTTTATTCCTTAAGCAGTGTAAAGGAATGATGCTTCTTTCAGGAAAACATACAGTGTAACTGAATTCCTCACTTACTGGGCTGTGTATATCTTGCAACTCAACACTCATGAAACAGAGATCTATCTATCTATACACATCATGATTCATCAGCCAGAAGTCAAAGGTCTTCTCAGGAACTTTTACAAGCTAGTACCATGGAAAGTGTTTTTATATGGGACAATTACTCAAATCCTAACAGTAGAACAAAATTGAATGGCTTTGTAAAATACAAACCAATTTACCAAATACATATGCCACATACTTTCAGCTCACATTATTTAATGACCACCATAAGATAACCAAACGTTATCAGATTAATACGGGGGTGAGTAACAGACCAGAACATTTCACTGTGGCTGTTTTCCGAAGCATCTTCCCAGGCAAGTGGCCAGCATGGTTGTACTGAAATAGCTGCGACTATTCCATTACAGGTGTTTTGGAACAAGCATCAAAGCAACCCAGCTGTACTTGAGCAAAAGTAGAGATGCTCCTCAGCAGAGGCACATTCCTCTAAAGATGTGATAAATTAGGCATTTTTATAGGAAGACTTCAAATGTTTCTCTTACGTTATCATGCAAGCCACCACAGCTGTAGTGGCACTGAGGTTGTTTAGTAACCTAAATTCCTATGGCTTGCCAGAAGTGACATCCCTTGATCAATCCCCAAGCAAAGACTTCAACCCAAACCCACGCAGGTGCAGCGGGATGCCTCAGGAAACCACTGTGACCTCCCTCCTCGAGCCACATCTGACACTGCTGCCATCATTCTGAGCCATCATGTACATGTCCCAGGTGCCACAAGAATCTGTGCAATACAGGAAATGCAAGAACTTGGGGATTTCAGAAACAAGAACCAAATTAGTTTGTAGAGTTTTGGTTTTGGTGGAACTCTTGCAAAGCCGAGCTATGGAAAAAGAGCTCAATGACATCACGTTAAGATATCTAACATACATAAATAATTTCAATGTAGAAATGCGCTGCTTGCAGATTACAGATTTGAATTATTCAAAACACCATAAAATCTTAATACAATTGTTTTAGTGGAAATTTTATTCGTTTCCTGCATGCCACCAACAAAGAAGATGCTGTAAGAAAGTTTTAAACTCTAAATGAAGGAACATTTATTCCCTGCGAGGTTTGAAATTTCACACTAGACTCCAAAAGACAAACAAGCTGAATCCTTACATTGGCTGTGCAAGGCTTGACTTGCTACCAGTAATATATCCACAAAGTATGCAAGACAGGATTAATCTCATCAGCAACATAAGTAACAAGAGATAGTCAGCTTATGCCCCATCTCTAACTAGGGGAAAAAACATGGGCCCTTTCAGCCAATGTGACCTGCCAGGCTCACATTACGTGTCTACGTGTTGTCAAGAGAAAAATCACCCTTGATCCTTATGAAGTGTTCAGCTATTATATGCAGAATAGATGGGATCCTCAAAAACCTGTAAAGAACTGCTGACCCAGTGTGAATAAAGAAAGTGTTCATGATTTAATCAACAATATTTTTTTTTTTTTAAAATATTTAAACTCACCTGATGTGCGCACACACACACACCCTGTCAATGAGTAAGCCCAGAATTTAAAGTTTCCACGTACCTGAGATTTGCCAAAAGTCGTCTTGCTGAGGGCACAGGGGGAAGTACAGATCTGCATGTCCGTGACTTGCAAAGCACACACTCTTTCAGTGCCTTTTAGGATATTCAGCACACAGGAATTCTGTTACTGCTTGTAAAAATTTCAGCACACCAAAAGAACTAAGACACTTGGTAGTTCGGTTTAGAAATGTGCCGAATTCATCAGCACTTCCCACCCAGCCCCACCCCAAGTAATCCTGTGTGAAGTGATGAGTACAATTTACTGGAAGTACAACTAAAGATTATTTTATTTTCAACTCTTTAATGCAATTCTACATTCTGAGACAAATCTGTATGTGACCTCACATACAGCTCAGAGTGTATTCCTTAGACCCAGGCACAACAAACACTCAGAACTGCCCATTTTTCACCCACAGTTTGCTAAAGGAGTAAGATCAGTGTCATAAAACATGAAGAGTTTTAAGTTTTGTAACTGTGTTAAAGCAGAACGCATAACATGTCTTTTTTTTTGTGGCAGAGTTGCCCACAAAATAATCCCCGTGGAGAACAGCAGCTGATAAATAGTGTTGAACCAAACGAAACAACGAGCTGTAACTATTTATTAGGGACATCCATACAACACAGTTGATTTTTTTTTAAATAAAAGGAATCAATCGTGTACATAAAAAGACTAGAAAATTACACTGGCCATGATTTATTACAGAATTCTCATATTTCCAAGACTTTCACACATGTAACACAAACCTCATCTCTCGACTGCGGTACCTTTTGCTCAACAGAAACGGTGCGTGAATGTGCACAGCTTGCCTGAAGCTACTTTACACGAGTGAACAGAACCTAGCCTCAGCCACAAGGCATCCTGGTGTTCCACGTGAAACTACTAACAGGAAAAAAAAAAGGAGAAAGCACATGAAATTCACAAGTTCAGGTGTACCAACTTTCTGTAACGTCAAAGTACATCCCAAAGAGATGTGTGAAGTATAATTTTAAGAACATCACACAAGAGGTAGAAGTAAGATTTCTGCAGCGTTCATTCAACATCCACAGTTGTTTTTACAGAAATACTTAAATAAGCCAAAATTGGCCAACGATTAAAATCTTTTATAATCAACAATTGACCTTTTTTTTAAGCTAAATTATACTTTCACATATTTCTGTTGGGTCTATCACACGGATCAACTCACAAAACCCTCCTGCAGTAATACAACACCAGCCGTGTAAAATTTACTACTTTAAGTAAATGAGTTTGACCAACAAGCATGTAAAAGATACTTCAGACACCAAATAGTATATTAAAATATAGACACTATTAATCTTTGTATATCCGCCATAAAAAATAAAAGGAAACTTATTTTTCCCACACATATCAGAAATAGCCTAATTCTGTGAAAAAATTACGCTCCTTAAGTTATTACTGTGCATAAACAAGTTTTGAACTGGTTGTATTTTATACAGTAAAAAAATGTAAAGCAACTTTCATCTGACAATGATTTTACGTTGACTCCGGTTGATTCTTTCTAAAAAAACTTTTGACACACTATTTGCAAATAATTTCCTTTTTAACGCTCATTTGGCAAACAAGCAGAGAGGATTTATAGCTCCATTTCCTCAAGTTTTTTAAAAGTTGCTCCTAACCCCATACACTTCCAATCTGTAACAGCACAGACAAACACTAAATGCGTTTTTTTTTTTGCACCTTTGATTTCAGTATTGCTAACGAAGAAAAATAAACGACCTTCCATTTTATGCAACTGATAAAATCGATCAGGAAAGTGATTTTTGTTTCCTTAATTAGAAAGCAATCGACGAGGAGGTGCCAGATTTGTATAGAACATTCCACAAGACAAAAAAGTGCTGGTGACAGAGACGAATAAACTGCACAGGAAATAAATCAAGGTCTTGGTATGCTTAAGGCTCTATTTTCCATCCAAGCGAGTCGGGATAAAACAAGGTGCAAAATTCTCAGAAACCCACAAATTCAACCCAGCCGAAGCTTCAGCTGTGGGTACATTCCTCAGCTTTAAAAGAAAGCAAACCAACCCTGCTAATCCCAAGTTTGTCAGCAGAGGGAGAAACCTTATCAAAAAGGTCAGGAACACATCCTTCCGGAGTTTCTCAATATCAAATGTTCAAGGTGAACTACTAAGGCTGTATTTACAAAGAGCCTGCCTAACTCGAGCTACCATGCCAGGAGAGTGACAAAGACAGATAAAGACAAAAATCTGTTAAAGCTGCTGGCTTCAGTGGAAGCAGGACCGCACCCATCCCCTCAGTAGCCTAATTGCAAATGCACTTAAAAAAATAAAAAATATATATTCCAAAGTCACCTGCTCTCATATATTCACCAAGGTGCCATATACCTTATTCGTGTCCAATATAATGTACTATCCTGAAAAGTTAAATAATCCCGAACTCATTTTTTTCCATTTTAATGACATTATTAGAAAAAAAATCTATAGGATATCATGGCAATAAAATTTTATCATATATACTCTCAGAGCAATAAAGATACAAAGAACAAAAAACTCAAAGCCCTACTACTTTGGGTTGCTCCAAAATGCAGCATTTTGACATCACAGTTCCCAAACAGAGAATAAAACAAAAAGTCGGCTCTCAGAAAAGGTAAGAAGGTAACTTTTAAACAAATACATTTTACTTTGTTAGTTGCATAATCTTCACAGCAATTAAACAAACAAAAAAAAAATCCCACATCCTAAAGCTAGGGCTATGACTTCGTATAAATCAGATACCAGATACATCGTGCTGAGCAGAGCTGAATGCTCTCACTTGGGGAATAGCTGCTTAAAAAACCAACCCACAACCAGATAGCTCAAGGGAAGTCTCAAGCTAAGCCACACAGTGATTTTCTCCTCTGGAAGGAGGGCTTCCAGTGGCTCAGTGTTCCCTTCCTTCTTGTGGCTCCCCTTTCCTTCTGTATTTCCCCAAACTGAGCATGAGAAGGCCTGGACAGCAGATCGAACACCCCCAGGAAAGTGTGCTCATGGTCACTTCTGAACAAGTGCATAGGAGTAAGGCTAGGAAGCTTTCCACTACAGTCTAGAGCATTTCCACACTGCTCTGAAGACACAGTGAAGGCCAAAAGGCCAGCAAGTTCCTCAAAAAGCCTTCAGGTCAACCAACCTACATCTTCTGCCACGCATTTGCTACACCACTGGGAAACATTAACAGGAATCCAAAGACTTCATGAAGCCCAGAGCAACAGTTCCTAAGCTGTAAGGCAAATTGTTTCCAATTACACACACCCAGGCAGGGAGGGAAAGAGGTTAGCAGCAGTGGTAAATACCAATACCAACGAAGAAGAGTAAGTCTGGGAAGAAAAAACAATAGGGTTGGTTTAGGAACTACACAACCTGACACACGTTGCTCAAAAAGCCCCGGCAAAACAATCTCCCTGTGTGGTGTTCTAGTAAGTAATGACAAACTAATATCAACTTCTTCAGTTTTGGTTTATGTAAATCCCATCAGACTAACTTAACTGCCATGGGGACTCCGTGGATACAGAAGAAAAGCAGAGGTATGAAATGTTACCAGAAAAACATTTGGTCATTGAAGCAAGACCAAATCCCCTTTCTTCTGGGAAACCGTAAGGTCGAATCATCAGAGGACTCCAGTTATTTACACAGGCCACAAAGTAACTTGAATTCTTAAAATCCACCTTGTATTGGAATATGAATCAGAGATTTTAAAACATTAAGGATCCATTGCTATTTTTTTTTAACCTGATTGCTTTACAAATGGAAAAAAAAATAATCAAAAATCAATCCCAAGTCCAAACCCAAACCATCTCTGGCTGAAGTGTAACCTAGCACCCCAACTCTGCTCCCAGCAAAGTCAATAAAACATGAACAGGATTGGCCCCTAAAAGCAGAAGCGTTATACTCATTCATACAATTCAGTGCAATACGTACACAATTTGTGCCTTGTTGCACAATTAAACACTAGGCAGCTAAAAATATTTTATGACTGCCAACAGAGCTACTGCAACTCTAAGTGGCAACTTGATAAAATAGAGAGCTACTTCCCCTGAAATATAAAAGGGTGTGAAAACAATGGAATTGAATATTCTGAAATAGGTCTTTATAGGTCCAGTGCTATCCATATTCGAATAATTTAAAGAAATGGCCACAAAATCATTCTGATATGAAGACCTGGGGTTTCGAGGAAAGCAGAGCAAGGCAAAGTGAAGCTTGAGCACATGGTGCTTGCATGTGTGGGGCATCACGAGGGATGTCCTGTACTGAACACATTTGACCCCAGTAATTCTCTGCAGCCGTGGAGCTTTGTGCTGGGCAGTCCCACGAGCAATGGGACTGAGCGTGCCAGGTGCTAGCTGCAGCCAAACGCAGCCACCGTAACCCTTTTTAAGGGAGGTTTTAAACTGCAATGGAAAAAACAGAGTGAGCACAGTTACTGGTTTTGAAAACTGAGACGGCTGAAGGCACATTAACTATGGTATGAACCAATTAAGACCACATTCCCTCACAATAATAATTAACACACAAGCGATACAGTATAGGACCTACCACGCCCTGTACATCCACCACCACAAAGCAATCCCGCAGGACCACGATTGTTCTGTAAACAGAAAAGCAGATCAAGGCTTCCAAATTCTGACTTCCCGTCAGTACAGTAACCATAATTAAAGATTAGTCATTAACTGAAATACTGCAAACTCCACTTTCTAAACCGTGAAGTATAGTTAATTAGTTTCACAAAAGCAAATTCTGAAATTAATTTGTGCAAATAAACTCCACGCACACAAGGAAAACACTAAAATAACTCTTCAGTACCTTTTCTTTTTTAGGCTAAGGCTGTAAATATTCATTTAAATTGAATTCACTTTCTTTAGGAAAAAGTGATCTTGCTACACTAAGATTCTGATTTCCGTCAACTCCAGCTTTTGAGCTCTATTCAGTGCATTACAAAGGGGCTTGTGTAACCTTGTATCTACGGGGTTCTGTGGTTACTGCCTCCTTCCAGTTAAGGATGGGACTACTGAGTCTGTATCTGTTCTAGAAACATTCACAGATCCAAAACTACTGAACATTTTGCAAGTGCATATATATGGAGATAATTCTATTTATCCACAAAGTGTTGAATTTAACATCGAACATTATGGAACACAAATAAGTCCTTATATTTGTCTTTCAACCTTTCTTCATACTTAATAGATCTTTAAAACAAGACCTGCTCTCCAAAACCACCTGCTAATATCCCAGCACCCAGGAGCCGCAGCTGGTTACAAGCACATGTTAAGAGATCCTGTTCCATTAAGACAGCTGTTAAAGCATTAAAATATTGACGTGCCCTACGAACAAAACTGGAATTCCTCTTTCCTTTCTAGTTCTCACCCTGAACATCCACACTGACACACGACACTTCTGATTGTCTAAGCCACAAAACGGAGACTAGTTAACAGCAATTAAGTGAAAATCTTCCATGCGGAAAATGAATTAAACAGCTTTGGTAATCTAGTACATAGTTAGCTTTGCGTAAATATTTTTGCAAACATCCCTTCCCACCCAAAATCCCTATATACCACGTGTGTATTTATATTATAATATACATATTTCCTGAGTAAATCGTTAAATCTGATTATTCGGAAGGTTTGGCAAAAGATGCAACATTATATTACTAAAATCAAAATTTAAATAAACATTCAATAAACATATTAAAATAAATATGGAATGTTTCTGAAAAATTATAGTACCACGAACTTCCATTAGTAACAAAAAATATTTTCTAATTAAGTGCATATTATGTTCTCTAGTTCATGGGTCTGAACCCAGTGAGAAATCAATACATCTAGTTTTTAATCCTGAGTGACAATTTTACATTGCCTACTAATGCAGTACTTACTGCACATCTACAAAATCTTTTTTTTTTAAGATGTAAAACGTTGTTATATGGAATAAAGGATATGAAATCTCAGTCTACATTGGTCTAGGTAGAAACTGAATCAGCAGCACAACTGCTGAAGCATCTCATGGAATCACCAGGAAACACCAATTGTTCTCGTTAAATTCAGCAATAACCTGAATGATCAACGACTTCTGCTCACAGAAACACTACAGGAGGTGGACTGCTCTGTGACAGGATATAAACTACTTACTGATCACTTTGGCACTTCAAGAAACTACATCATGGTGCAAAACAATCAAAAGAAAAAACACCTGAATTAAATACCTTTCAAATGTGTTGTTTTTTCTTCTTTTAAGTATGCTAAATTAAATCATTAACAAAAGAATTAAGTTCGCTCTCACTGGTTTCTCGGGTCATGGCTTGAGTCACAGCTGATACAGAGCTTTGGATAAGCAGACAAGGAAATGCTCAGCTACTGTTTAGTTCCTCTTAATAATAAAATTCTTATGTAGCAGACATCGCAAAACCAGCAATATTAAAATTGCATTAACACTATTACAGGATGTGTCTCTCAACACCAGAATCACAGTAATAGAATTGCAGCACTGATTGGTTATTTTTAACCCTTTCGCTTTCCGATAGCCCATCAAAATGCCCCCCTCAGTACTAGGCAGGCCTTTTGCCCTTCCCTCTCAATCCTCATCTCTATTCCTCCCTTCAAGTATTTGTTATTAATCCAGAATCCTCATGGGTTCCTCAGGTTGTTCTTTTTCACTTCCTTTTTCATGCTCCACGCTGTTTCTTTCTTGTGTGCTTGTGCTTGGGGAACGAAGCTCTTGCAAGGCCTTTTCAATGTCATCCTGTTGTACTGGGCCGCTTAAAGAGGTTTTTGGCAGAGTCATCTGTAGTGCACACCACAGCGCGGTACGAGCCTTGCGTGTGGAAGCAGCCAACTCTCTGATGGCAGCTGCCAGAGCCAAAACATCTGCAACCGAAAAATATATTATGGGTAAAACTAGCACACAAGCCTGATAATATATTGAAAATACACAGAAGTTGACCAAGAAGCAGCTAACGTTGCACCCTGTTACTGCAACGGTTGAATTCCAGCAGTTATTCCCCTCTTGCAATTGATAGTTCTAACATCTCACACTACAAGCAACCATAATCATGTTTAAAATTCACTGGCATAATCACCATGCCTGCAATAGTCTCCTTTGATAACGTTAATTAGGCTTAATTATTCTATCTACAATGATATTAAACACGTATGATAGTAAAGTACCTGCTTCAGGCCAGCCAGAGGAGCTGGAGGCAATCCCTTTTTCTTCCTTTGCCTACCTGCCAGCGGCACTGACCTGCTGCCAAACTTTGGCTACCTAATCAGCAGCAGAACCCAGGGCAAAATTATTTCACAGCAGAAAACAGACCTGAGGCTTTTCTATGTGCAATTTAGTCTGAACTTAGACAAGCAACAGCAGCACTATTCTTCAGAACCATATCGACACTAGAAACATCAGCATTAACAATAGAAGTAATTTTAATTTTTAACTACAAGGGCAACACAGAACAGCTGACATAATGGTTCCAGGTCCTTTGACCATAAAGTGTTATCAAAAACATGGTTGGTGTTGGGTTTTCCTTGTAAGATGTCTACTTCCTGCCCTATACTTGCATTTCAAATCATATCATACAACTTTCAGAGTATTTTTTTTAAAGGTGGTTTGCTTACAGGACTGTTACTTTTAAGTATATGACATAATTAAGAAGATGCTTGACACCTAATTCGTGAGAACTAAGTATTTTGACTCTTTACAGTTAAGCTTTCCCCTCCTATGAGGAAAGTTATCCCACAAAGCTGCAGGCCAGCACTGCGCACAGATACATATGAGCCCAGGGAAGTGGAGTCCCCTCTGGAAACCTTTTCCTGAGATGGGTATTTTCTGAAGAAAAGTAATGATCTGCACCTTTAAGCATTGAGGTTTTGGAGGTAGCAGCTGTACAGTCATTACACTGAACAGCAGTTACCATGTATCCTACTCTATTAGAAGGGAATGCAACTTCTCCTTGTGCCTTAGTACTGATAAATTAGTAGTAGATGAAAATGTTTGTGTTATGAGCACATTTCCTCCAATTAACATGCCACTTTAGCAAAGTCTGCTTTGTCCAACTCACAGAAAAATTAGTATGTAAAGCATAATTCCCTCAATTCTATATCGTATGGCTACTTTTTAAGAATTGCTTGCCAATAGCAATTTGTAATACGTAACGAGACACAGTTTGTTAACTTTTTAGCAATTAATATGCTTTCAAAGTCAGAAAACAGATTTATGGTAAATTCTTGAAGTTAATCTTTTAGTTAAGTAGCAGCTGTGCCAGGTGAGAAAAACACTGCAGAACAGCATGCAATGTCTCTACAGAAATATATATTTCTGCTGCAAATTATTCCGGCTTTACTTTAACAGAAGTTAGGAATTAGAAAATCTAATTTCTGGTGGTTTTGTGACTTTGATAAGGTAAACACCATGAAGTAACACAGCACCAACACATTTTTTTATCTTATAAGCTAAAGAGAAAAAGATTTAGCCAAACAGCACTAATAAAAAAAATAAACTTAAGAATGAGTACGTTTTGATTTAAGAACTACATCTGGTTAGATAATATCATTAAACAGATTTTATAGCTGTCTTTTATTAAAGAGGAGAAGGCCTCAAAGTGTTTAATGTAGTAACAAAAAAAAACTCTTCAAAAAGCTTAAACAATTTTACTTAAGTGTCAGGTTTAGACTTTTTACAACCTTTTTTTTTCCCTGAAGATAAAAGAATTGCTGCATAATTCAAATCATTTATTTTCATAGTTAAATCTTTGGAAAAGATTTTCCAAGAACTACTAGATGGGAAGTATTTACCTTTCTCATTATTATAGCGCAGCGCTCCTGGTCTCTGCGGATTAGCAGCATTAACAATCTCATCCTTACGCCTCGCTTGTGTTACGTGGATGGCTTCCCTGTGGTGTTCCAACGTCGCGGGTATGTTACCGTGCACAGGGGCACCACGAAGCCTTTCCATTTTCCCTATCAAGGTGAGCACCTACCAGACACATTGAAAACACCAAAATCGCTAACTATTTATAACCCTCTATTAAAATTTAAAAAAAAAAAAAAAAAAAGAGAAATGAAGCATTTAACCAGGTATTAGAACTCACCAGACAATATTTCAAGAAATCTTACCCTGGCCTGTTCTCGAAATTGGTCAACAATCAAGCGATCGACGCGGGATGGGTTAGCAGGCAGCCGAGACACAGGAGTGTTGTTTGAGCTAGATACGCGCTTTCCTGGGAAGTTTCTTGCGAGGTCAGCCTCAGTCTGAAGGGGAAATGAATACCCATTTTAACTGTCTGAAAGCAGCACAAAATGACAACCAAGGTTTTCATTTAAGAGCTGTCAAATGCATTAGAAGATCGCTTCCTATCTTTGCTTCTGACTGCATTTACAGCAAAAACACTCCCAACTATGTCTAGATGTACAGCCAGCTACAGAAAAAGAATACTTCTCTAATTCAGCTTGACCTTAGAATAAAGTTCTCTGGGCAGATTTATTTTAACCAAATAAAATGTCCACATTCAAACTAAAATCATGTGCTGAAGCCTCTTCCTGCTTGCTTTACTAGCATCCTTACTACTGGGTGCCTGCCTTCTCCTAACACAGGATCATTAAGTATAGAGCTTAATGACTGCACTTACAGTCAACTCTTGAAGTCTGACATTCGGGAAAAAAAAGTTGGAGAAAGGGTCATGAATTTACCTAACCCCACCAGGTATTCAAGAATGACAGCTAAGAAACAACTTTTAGTGTTAATCTATAGCCAATTTAATACTGCAGGCAATTCCAAATGAGCAATTAGTAATATTTTGTTGATGACAGATCCCTAGAAGAGGGAGATGTAGAAGAACCATGCTCACTGTGTCAGACTTTAACACAAGTCCCACTGTGAGGGGTTTGTGCCTACCCTCTTCAGAAAACTTGCAGGCTGAGAACACAAAAAGGGCAAGAATCTCAAGAGCAAACCCTTCTTACAGACCAAGGTGAGATGAATATCCTAATGAGCTAAACAACACTGACACAGAGGCCTCAGCACTGTCCTAGCATAGTTCAGACTGCCAGGAGCATGAGAGCAGTTGCTGACAGTTTTACTCCCTGCCAACCAGCATTTGTCCAAACAAGAGCCACAACCAAATTCCTGGTTGACAACTGAACAGGCAGAGAAGAGGCAAGGGCATCCATGAGCAAACAAGACAAGCAGTTCTAGGTAGATCTCCAAAGCTCTAGAAAGAAAGAGGTGCCCTTCAGTGAGTCAACTGGGTCAGAAACCTGCCTCTTCTCCAAGGACCAGGAGACTTCCCTACCAAAGGCAGAAAGCAGGCGCTCAGTGTATCTGCTGGGACTGTAGATAAGCAACAGGGCAGCTGCCAAGACCTGCTGCAGAGTTAAGAGATTTGACTCTTCCTGGGGAAGCAATTCCTGCTCCTTCAGAGCTCAGAGCTTTCACTCCTAAAAGTAAGACATTTATTAGGAGCACGGTCCCCTCGCAGACAGAATTTCTTAAATTCTCTGGGAGAAGTCACATCCACTCAAGACACTGCAGGTGTCTTCTACAGCTGTGTACAGGGTGCCCAGGATTATTTTATTTTTTTTAATAACCAAAGATTTTGAAAAAAAAAAGAAACAAAGGAAAAAAGGAAACGTGAGATTGACTGTTAGCTTAATTAAATAAAAGACAACACAAGTTTCTCTCTAAGTGACTGCACTAGGGAAGAGTAGAGCCTGGATTTCAAATGCATCACTTAAAGATCTAGCTGGGGAGAAATAGGGTGGGACAAGAAAAGCAATTCCTGAACATAATATAAACATTCACACTACAGAGGTGCATAAAACACCAGTCTACAAGAATCACCTGTGCTAACACTAGTCCTATTTATCATCACATATGGTTGATGGCTCCAGAATCATAACAAAAGCGTACTGAATGAGTAACAAGCAGCTGGTGGATCTCTTATTGACCATAAAAATAAAAACCAGCATCCAAGCTAAAGATAATTCAGTGCTTTGGCCAGTGACACTTATGTTTGCCGTAGTAAATATTGCAGGTTAATGGAGAAAAATGTCGTGTCAGCAGCCCTGTCTGAGTGGAAAGGGAAAATAAATGTTTCAGATGGCACCTGAAGTATTTAAATCTAACAGTGTGACAACAGAACCCTCTGCTCCTCAGAAGTGCCAGAGCATCTGCTCTCTGTTGATTGTTTGATCCCATCACCAGCTTTGACAGAAAGCTATTTATTTATGGTTTACCTTCTTTCTCTCCTTCTCCAGAGCTCTCCACTGCTCGTAACACTCCTCCAGGTGGGTATGAAGCTCATTAGCGGGTCCGCTGCGATTTCTTGGAGGCCTGTACTTGTTAAACGGTGTCGGAAAGGCAAAGTATGGTGCAGTTATTTCCCCACAAAACAGATCACTGATGAAAGGGTTCAAGCGGTTAAAATCATCATAATGAAGAAGATCAACAAGTTCTGAGAACGGAAAGGGCGAAGGGGGGAAGTTGAAGTTATTTGCCGATGAAAACAGGTGGTGATTAAACGGAGGGAAGCCGGGATTTTGCTTAAAATCAGCCATCAATGGGAAGGAGGGGAGAAAAGGAGGACTGATGAGATCTGACATGCCACCACCATTCTGTTCGAGCTTTTTTTGGAACACGCTGAAGTGTGGGCGGTTTGGGGTTGCATATCCAAAATGGGGAACCCAGTTCCTTCTGCCTCTTCTATCATCTTTATTACCGTTTTCTTGCATTTGCTTTTTTTGCGATCTGTGGAATAGTTCAGGGTCTTCGCTCACAGAATTGGGCTGTGTTAACCAGTTGGATGAAAAACTCGTGGGGAATTTGCGGTGCTGCCATTCCTTACAGGTCAAGGACTCATGCTGCGAGCGTCCAAAGGGTTTCATTTGCTTCTGGTTTTCTGAGATGAAATTAGAAAGTCCCAAATTATTAGAAACACCATTTGAAGGGTGTAACCTTCCATCCTTCCTTGAAGGGAGGACGGGGGAGAGCTGTGAGAAGTAGGAGGAGTGTGCTACAGAGTGATGGGTGGGAGAACCACCAGACATGGTTGAAATCCCAGAAGATGACTGGGGGCTCGTTACCAGCTGCTTTCCATACATAACATCCGACACAGATGTTGGACCTGCAGTTTTTCCATCTAGCCACGTATGGTATGACAAATAACTCCCATTTTGCATATTTATGACAGACAAATCATACTCCGAAGTTTTATGAGAGCACTCTTTAGGACTAGCATGGATCTTAGATTCATTATTATTAAAAGCATCCCCCAATGTAAAGCTCTGATGACCATTTTGCATGTGGCTTTCCTGTGGTTTTCTGTTTGTCACTCCAGAAAAATTTTCTTTAGATGGTTGATTGAAAAAACATAGCGATGGGTGAACAGATGACTGTGATTTATGAGCAGCTGTAAAGTTCTCATATCTTTTAGAAAAGAAGTGGCTGTCCTGGGACACTTTATCCCAGGAGTCATCAACAGGCTGGTTGGAAAGATCAGGGGAATATTTAGTTTGTTCATGTGTGTCATTATTCGTGATGTTGCTCCTTGTTCTTTCGATTTTCCAATACTCTTTCTGAATGCTAGCATCGTCTTTAAGTCTGTTTCTAGAAGAAAAATTAAAACTGGGACTGATTTTTTCACAGTCCCCATTTAACCTCATGTGGTTGTAACTGCACAAGTGCTGATTATAGTCGGCACTTGGAAATGAATACCCTTCTTGGTGAACTGAATTATTGTTCTGGAAAGAGGAGTTGTCAGGATAACTGTTCTTCAGCATGTTATCAGGCTGAGCGCAAGGGCCAGATGGAGAAAGCCAAGACTCTAGGAGATGAAGGTCTTCTAACCCTCTGTGCAGCATCTCCACATCACATGATTTCTGCAGCTGCTCTTGGTAGTAGTTCTGTGTGCACATCAGGTTTGAAAGATCCTTGTTTTCTCCAGAGTGCTTATATGAAAGCCCTGGGAATTCACCATTGTTCCCAAGATCAGGTCCCCACATTGGTGGAAACAATCTTGAAAGAGAATTCCTGTAACAAAATTAAACAAAATTCCAGCAATAATTGAACACTTTTTTATGCAGTGCAATAGTTCACATCTCAGGGTTGGTTTCTGCCCCTAACACAGTCCCCCTGTTACATTCTTGGCTAGTCACACACAGCTCTCCTACAAAATTTCAGGGCAGGGAAGTTCCTGCTGTAGTTCAATAAGAGATCTGACTGCCAACATTGTTCTGATGTTTATAATTGAATATATATATTCATCACTGGAGGTTTTAGATTCAACATTTTAGATTTGACTCTATTTAGTCAAGTACCTATTATTTTAAAATGAAGTTTTTCCTCCAAATGCTTTGAGATGAGACTACAAGTTTTTCATTTTTAACAGTTTACTTTGACCGCTTGTTAAAAAAAAAGAAAAAGCTTTCACATCTAAGGACATTTATAAGACCCTTACCTCTAAATTCTATGAAATCATTCAAAATGTATATGGATGATAAAAGAATGCAAGAGTGATATGCAACATAAAAGAATTTTCAGAATAAACTTACCAATCTGTAACTGGTTCTGCCTTGTTTGGCTCTTCTAAAATGCTCGACACGAGCCCAAACATATCAGGGCCACTGCCAGAATAAGGAAGATTTACTTGTGCCCTGAAAAAAATACGAAGTCTACATAAGTACGTCTTTCTCCTACATGCGACATGTAAAAGAAAAGGTAAAATATTAATTTTGATCTTTAACTTGCATCAGCAGCATCTCTTAAGTGTTCTGAATTTAATGTATTCTCAGCAGCAATATACAGAAATCTCTTCCTGCATTTATGAATTCTATAGCCTAAAACAAGCAAAAGAATCAAGTTCCTTTCTTGTTTCCTAATTCTTAAGTTCTTGCCTCACTGGAGATTTCTCTAGCTGTTACATGAAGAGACAGGAGCATCAAAAGATCTCTTCCCAATCAATGCAACTATTTCATTGAACACAACATTTCTTCAAATCTTGACTGTTTGCTTTGTAGGGTGAATACAATCATCATTCTCAAAATCTTGAGGGTTCTGATTTATTCTATTTTGATATCAAAGATCCACTGTTTTAATCTTAATCACTTTTTAAATGAAGTTTTATTTTTAAGACCTATTGAACCACTTTGTAATCCCGTGCTGGAAAACTCAGTTTTGTTAAGTGTTTGTGACAACACTCAAGTGTTCAACTATCCCCTCCCTTATACAAACCCAACTCAGGACGTTCTGTGACTCTAAATACAGCGAGATTTTTACTAGAAATGCTAGCACCGACAGCAGCACTGGTAGCAAGTGTCAAAAGCTAGTCAGTCTGCACCAACCAACCCCCAAAATAAGGCAGTATTATACTGCCAGCATGTGTTATTAAGAAAAAAGGAGTGAGAAGCCTAATATCAATTCACTGTTTAAATTATTTCAACTTTTGAAATGCATAAACATTCCAATTTTAATTGTAGTATACAATAAAACCACAGTAGCCACCCTAGTTTGTATACTATGAACTCATTCCCTACTCCTCACAATCCTCATATAACTCATGATTTTACAGAAGTCATGATTTTTTTTTGTCTGCCCACCTGACTTATCACGACCAAACAGCAGTTTTATTTACTCTCTACTGACATGGGGTAGTCAGTGGACATGGTAGATTTGCCCAGCCTCGTTCTGTCCCTTTAATAATTTCATTGTGTTACCAAGACCAGATGGATCACAGGTGCCTGCAATACTCAAGACTCAGAGTGAATTTCTCCAGAGGACTAAAATTGTTTCTGGTTTTGCCTTTTTTCCTTGATAAGTTTCAAAGTGATGTATGTGTCTTCCTGGCAAATGCTAAAGACTTATGGTGATCTTTTCAGAGGTCTACCATAGAGGACTCCATAAGACGTCCAAGGGAGGGCTATAATGATAAAATAGCTTTGGTCTTAAGGTTGAGAACCCAAGAAAGGTGCAAATCAGGAAGCCTGTTGTAATTTACAGAGAACTCAGTGATCCTCCCCTCTCTGAGAGCATTTTAAAGCTGTCTGTTTTAATTAGGGGGAAAACAAGGCTTTTAGCCTCAGAAGAGAACACTAATCTTCTCCATCAAGAAAAGGAAATTGTGTATTAAACCAGCTAATTTTAGCTGACTTGAAAGTTCACTTATTTACTCTTAATACATGGTTCAAGTTATTACATGATGCAAGCCAAAAAGGGCTTTGCATTCAGCCAGCATTCAAAACACATTTTTTAATGTATTATAAAATGAAAACCTGAGTGCATTAGTCAAGGGCACATGAAGACAGTAGGCTGCGACAAGAGCAGTGCTGCACGTATTTCTGCTTTCAGAAGCAAATGGGTACCACTGACATCCGATCTGTGTCCAGCACCCTCCGTACTGCTCATGTTCCATGACACTGCACCACCAGGCAGGATCGTTATGAGCTGCAGCACTGAGTGACGAGGCAAGGAAGGAGAGGGGTTTTTTTGTTTGTTTTTAAAGGAGTTCTCACGGCAGTTTCCCATTTCATTCCCTAGCAATGAAGTTGTACTGTCCTTACCAAACTTTTAAGTTTTTACATAGACACACGTACACAGACTCCCTCATCTTTTCTCACAAGCTCTACACCAACTACTACACGGTAATCTGAGTGTCTAATGAAGACAGAATCACAGAATGGCTTGGATTGGACCTTTAAGGGGCCTTAAAGACTGCCCAGTCCCACAGGCAGGGGTGCCATTCACTAGACCAGGTTGCCCAAAGCCATGTACAGCCTGGCCTTAAACACCTCCAGGGATGGGGCACCCACAGCTTCTTTGGGCAGCCTGTTCCGGGGCCTCACTGCCTTCTGAGTGAAGAATTTACTCCTAACCTCTAATCTGAATCTCCTCTCTTCTACTATAAAAATAATTCCCTCTCATCCTAGCAGCAACTTCCACATAAAAAGTTGCTCCCCATCATTTTTTTAAGCCCCCTTCAAGTACTGAAAGGCCACAATGGGCAAGGTTATTCCATAACCTCTCCTTAAAACAACCCAGAATCCCATTTGTGCTGCTCAGGAACAATTTCAGTGTTGCAGAACACCACAAGATTATGCCAAGAAGGTCCATACCGTTTTTTTGTGCAGTCTTGCAAAGATGTTTTTGTGCTGTTGTCTTCTCCACATGCTGACCAGTCGCTATACAGCTGGGAAGATTCCAACGAAGGTGGCGTGCTAGTAATTGCCCCTAGTAATGGGGAAAATATTTGAGTGTCCATTTTTTGTTTCTTGCTATTTACCTACGTTGAAAAGGGAAGAATTGTTAACATTAGATGTTTATGCCAGTGAGCAGTGAGGACAAAGTTAAACTTGTCTTTTATATGAGGAGCTAAATAATTTGTCAGGAAAATGAAATGTAAGTATTATAAAAGGATGCTGTCTAAAACTTCTTCCTTTCCCTGCCTTAAGGTAGTCCAAATCTGACAAGATTATGCATCTCCTAAAAATAAGAAAGTAAAAAATAAAGATTACTTACTGTACAATAACAGGAATTCTCTACAGATTTCACATTGTAGGTTTTTGAGTGTGAAGTTGACAAGCTCAGAGTCTTCTAGCCTATATGACTGGAAATGCACATGTCACAGGCATCCACATCCCTTCTGGGAAAACAGTACAGCAGTTACCCCTGCTACATACCCTGAGAACAGAAATATTCCTACAGAGCGCCCCATGTAAGCAGGGAAGGACATCTGTAAACCTCACAGAGAAAAGTGGGGTTAAGAAAAGTAACCTCTCTTTGAGTACTGGTCCTGGAATAAAACCTCAAGCTTTCCTGAAAAAAATATAAATTTATATATAATGTTGTACTGAAGTAGGTCCCTTCAGTTCTCCTAAGTAAAGCTACTCAGTCAAGACAAGGTACTGACTCCTCTTCTGCAAGTGAGGTTTGGGAGTCTCAAACCACCAACAGCAGAAGCAGCCAGCTGTAGCAGAAGCTGCAAGAGGCCACAGGAGGGAGGGAAAGGTGTAAACCAAGGAGAATATTTAGCTGCCTCTTTTCCCCAACCATTTCTAGAAGTATTTCTTAGTAAGTGGTGATTTTTCGAGCAAAGAAAAACACCAACATCTCAGCTTAAAAATCTATCGAGGGGATTTCCTATTTCAAGATGCGTTTCATTCAAGATGCCACCTTTCAGTTTCTGTAACTCAACCCACCTTCCTGAAACCATCTCAGAAATTCATGTTCTTGGTAAGTGAACGGTCAGTAGGCAGACTGGAAAAAAAAAAAAAAAAAAACTTGCTGCATAAAAGGAATCCCTTCCTTACACTAATCTCTCACCTTCAGCCCCTCTGTGTACAACCTGTCAACAGGAAGAATTCCAGAGGCACCACAGCCAAAAGCTTTATCTGAGATCCTAGCACTTAAAAGCCAAGCTGAACCCTGGCTACAGAGGATGGAGAGCAAGAGCTCTTTTAAGACTGAGGATAAAATACACTTCTTCACCTCCTCCATTGCAAATGCAGCTAGAAGGTACTAAAAGACAGATTTAACTTCTTTTTAGCCAGCTTAAAAAACAGGAGAGAAAGAAAAACATCTTTCATCAGCATGGTCAAGCTAGCCTTGGATCATACAAATCATTGCTAGATACCTTTTGAATAACTGTAGAGAAATCTTACCCACGTACTTAAAATCCTGAAAAGTGTTAAACACAGAACATGAAAGGAAGAAACAGTGCTACAACAATGAGTGGGTCCTCATATTTAAAAACATTTCACCAGATTTACTAAAATCTCATTTTATGGCTTTAAGATTAAAAACTGCACTGTCACTGAAGTCATAGTTACGTGGCCAAAATTGCCAGCTCTGCGAGACTGGCACTTGCTATGGGAGAAATAGCTCAAAAGCTCTCAACAAGCCAAAATGAAACAAAGAGCTTTAGGGAAATTCACATTTTCTGAATATAGCTGTGTTTTAAGTCTCTCTAGAGTCACTGACAGGCTTTTTAAAAGTAATTTTTATCTAAATAATATAAAAAGAAATTCAGTATCAATCACTACCTCATGCCTCATCTGTTTAAAAGAGAAAATACCAAGTTAAATTATTTTTTCTCTCTTTATGTGACTATTTCTCAATAGTAGACCGGTGAAACCTTGCTTACTACAACTCTTCAGCCAGAATTTGATTTAGTGAAAGCTGCCAGAGCCTCAGAAGGCTCTCTTCCTGACTCTAAGTCTGAAAACACAGTTACCTGGCAAAGCCTGCTCCTACTGGGAGCAGGACTGAGCAGCCCTTTGACACCGCAGCACACTTGAATGGAAAAAAGCTTAAAGTGAGGGCTTATCAGTTGCTACAACCTTGTCTCACACACCCAAACAAACCCCTATTAAATAACAGGTTATTTTAGAGGCAGTGTCATCCTATGGAGTGGATGCTTTCTGTACTGTTCCACACACATCCCATACAAGACATATTTCATCTCCCAGAGACCCAGCGGCACGATGCTGTTCAGCTGAACCCTTAGAGACAGGGAGGAGCACAGCACCCAAAGGACCTGCTGCAGGTGGCTCCCAAATCGTGTCCAGGTATCATTTAGAAAGCAGGAGCTCACCAGGGCCAGAACTTTTAGAACAATTTAGTGGCACCAGCAAGCACATGCCAGTGCCTGGGCTCTGGTCTTGTTTATTTCGCTCGGAATCAAAGCATGGAGATAAATCACACTCCTTGGCTAAAGTATAAAAATACTTTTGCATAGGTTAAAAATAGGACCTGTAACTATCAGACATATCTTTTATTTTCAGAGCCATTAGTCATTGTTAATGGGAGTTGTGCAGGACAATGTGACTACAGCTCAGCAGAGGAGGTATTTCACGTACCCCACACAGCCCCATCAGTCTGGGAAATCTCTCCTGGGCTTTACGTGCAAACTACTAGCAAGTTAGAGTAAAAAATAAAAGGGAAAAAAACGTGCTGCCTACTAGTTTATTTTCAGACTTCTTCGCTGAGGTTCAGACAGTGGTAGTCTCCCTAACAGGCCTTGCAAAGAAAGGGCTGCCTGCAGACAGTCCAAGTGTCTTTCACTCCAAATTTCAACCTTAAAAAAAAGTGTATGAAGTAAATCAATGAACAAAACGCTGTCTCCAACAAAACCAAGTGGCAACTCCTGCAGTCTGGTTCTTCCTTTATTCTTCCCACCCTGCAAAGCATGGGAAAAGCTCTGCTCCCACTCAACTACCTCTCAAAACAACAACAAGGGACTTGCCCTATCTAAAACCTACACAGACTATATCAGGGGATTTTTTTTTTTTTTTTCAAAGCATAACAAGACAGAGCTTCAGTTTGTTCCTGGAAAATGGAAGCGTGCATATGCTAAGCAATCTCTGCAAACATAACTGGGCACACTGTTTTGTTTTCGAGACATCTAATATTGTATCTTCAGATGCACACAGAGGGCTTTCAGCTTCCAGGAAGCTCATCACAACTGAGGAGTAAGCAAACTCAAGCATTTACCAGAAAAACATTTGAGCTAAATCAGGAAAAAGTCCTTTTACAGCCAGGGATCCTAAAGCTGCAGGACTACCCCACTGCAGAGCACTGCTCGCAGATGCATTTTGTGACCAGCTGTCAAACTTTATCTGGGATGCCAGTAAGTGACAGCACCACAACAGCATCACTGCTTCTATATCGAGTGTATTCTTTGATTTCTTGGCAGGATAAGCGTTTAGTGTTTATTTCTTGTTTTTTCCTGGCAAGAGAAACCAAACATATGATAAAGTATTGTGGGTTTTGTTTTTGTTTGTGACTAAGAACTCTAAGAACTCCTACCTACAGCACACAGACCAGTTAACCATTCGGGAGGCACTGCTAGTAACTCTCTGAAACAAACTAGTGAAAAATCAGAATTCTACAAGTTGCCTTCTTGTGATACCTCAAACTAAACAGCAGGAATGCAAACAGGTGACAGGGATACATAAAAATTATAAATAGGGGGAAAAATAGGTCTGTTATTCAGATCTCATGATATTAGGGACAAAAAAAAACACAACGATGGCAGGTTACTGGATTCTTCCTTCTAAATCTCAATTTCCTAAGGGCTTAGTAGGACAAAAGGGAATGCTCCTTCTCAGCAAAGCATTGGAAACTTTTTCTGAGAATAAGAGAGCTCTGAAAGACTTGCTTCCTATGACAGCTGGGTCAAAATCCTACAGAGAGCACAGCTCTGAGATGCTTGCTCAATAGAGGGGTTCTGTAGTCCCATTACTATTAAGCACGCTCAAGGGCTACTTGGGAATTTCTTGTTTGTTTGTTTTAAGCACTGACATCTAAGCACATTCACTTCTTACGGTCAAAGAACTTTTATCCAGAGTAATTTCCAGTAATTGTTCTTCAGAAGACTTTGTGGTGAGTCTCACAAATGCCCTTGAATGTCTCCTGTCAAAGCCCAGCTGGATGAGGAACTGCTGACTGCCATGAGCAGAGGATTAATCGCCTGCACTGACACGCAGTGAGATCTGCTCTGGCTGTAACAGAGCACTCTCTTCATTTTCTGTGTTGGAGGAGTTTTATTTTTTTGTATGTGGTTATTCAATACACGTAGTTAGAAAAAACAACATATTATAGAAGTATTTATTTCTGTTTCCTTAAGCAAACTTACTCTTTGGACCCACCTGTGACTTGTAAGGACCAACTGTGACACTTGGCTTGACCATGTCCTTGGTAGCAGAATGCCGGTTCTCTTCTCTGCCGTATGCAGCATTGCCAGGCAAGCAGAAATTTAGATTCTTACGGACAGATTTAACCTATTAAAAAAATAAAAAAGAACAACCATTACCAGGTCAATGTATTTCTTGTTATGCACAAAACTATTTTCTAGCTGCCCCTCACTGCTCCTCCCACCACCTTTCCATGCCCACAGCTCCACCACGATCACCTAAGTCTCAGATGCTGGCAGAACGATGACAATGTCCCCTTCTTGCTGAGATCCCGCATGACAAAAGAAGCTTGGCAGCCAGGAGCTGCTGACCATGGGTCACATGGAGGCCCAGATGGGGCGAGCAGCACTTGCATTCACACACGTTAAGAGTCTACCCTTCTGTGCTTCCCTTTTGGGAAGCAGATTGTTAAGCTGCTGCTGCTTACTGACACGCCTGCAGCTGTATGTGAGCATCAGCTGCCCATGTTATGGGACGCAGCAGAGCAGAGCTCACATTTAAACTGCACGAGGCTCAAGGTCTCATCTTTTTTGACACAAAGCTTTAGTTGGTGGAAGCAACAAGTGGTGCTTTTTGTCTCCATTTATCTCATTCGGCTGCTGGAAACAGGCAAAGAGCTGGATGAATTGCTTAACCAGTTCTCGGTAGTCAGCTTTTTGGGAATTCCTACAGCATTTCCATCACCTTTTAGCAGAGAAACATGCTCAGACAGACAGCAAAGTCCGCAGCCAGCAGCGGAACAGGGCTGGGAAGCATCCTGTAGGCACCTCAATGCTTATAGGAAGCACTGAGCTTGCAGCTCTTGCACCAAGTGGCCTTCAGTGCACGTTTGATACGCTGATGTCCTCTGAACTCCTGAAAAAAGCTCCATGGCCCCTACAACGCAGGGTATCAGGCCCCCTGTGTTTAAGCTATGATAGGAGACTGAAGGGATTCAGGTGCACACAGCTGCTCCTGGTGCTGCCTTCCCTGCACATCTTCCTTTCAGGAGAGGCGATGAGCAGTCTCTTTACACCACCAGTGATGATTTGTTCTGTCAGTACAATTAAGCTGCTAACCTTTACGGATCTTTTAACTACTTGTTATTTATTAGCTGTTCCCCTGCCAAAGGAGACCTAACGAAGCCCGTAGTGATTAGCCGAATCGTTCTCCTCTGTGACACACTGAAACTACATGCAGCTTTAAAAAATGGGATTTCCACAGGCTTGGCTTGAAACACCCAAGTTTTAAATTCATACAGCTGTCCAAAAGAGAGGAAAGAGTGCAATCCCTGTGCCCCAGCCAATATAATATATCCTCACAGAATCAACTAGGTTGGAAGAGACCTCCAAGATCACCCAGTCCAGCCTCTGACCTAACACTAACAAGTCCTCCACTAAACCATATCACTAAGCTCTACAGAGAAAAAAAAAAAAAAAAAAAGGATTTTCAGTAACTTTGTGAGCTGTTACTCACCTTTTACAGGTGATGCAAACACGTGCTTACTGCCCTACTGGTAAATAATTCATTCCTAGAAAGGCCTTTTGGGGTATCTTCAGGATGGGATGGTGCTACATTAGTCAGGTAGAAGCAAATGCTTCAGATAGAGGAGCAATGCCAGCTTGCATTTTGTTAAATTCACAAATAAAAAGCATCTCATTGAGCTTTTCCACATCATGCCTTGAATGCCTGAACAGTTCTAACTTTTTTTTTTCCTCTTTTCTTCTGCCACTGCTCAAGAACTATGAGTGAAAAAGATGAAGGACCGCAAGCCCAGCACCTGCAGGAAACCACTCTTCCATCAGCAGGGAACACCAAAGACTGGCTTCCTTCTTTCAAAGACCAGCTTCTTTCCTACACATGTGTAGGAAAGGATGTGTAGGAGACCCCTACTGCAGCTTTGTGACCTCCCCAGTTCTCCTCCTCAGGGCCACCAGCACAGAGCTCGTGGTAATGGGGCTGCATCAGCAGGCCACGACGGATGCTTGAAGTTACTCAGAAGCCTTTCTCTGGACGAGGACGCTCTCTTCTGCATAAACCTGTCGAATTCTGTAGCATTTACAGAAATCTGTTATTGTCAAGACACCTCACCACCTCTCCCACAGTTTCAGAGCATTTAACCGATGGTTCAAAGCTTACCAGAAGAAGGACGGGTTCCCCAAAAACATAACCTTCAGTAACCTGAAAGCACAGTCCCCCAACCCTTTATGCTGGTGTAATGTCCATCAGCACTTCC